GCTTCAACATTGTGACAATATCTGAGTCATCATTTTTCCATCCACTGTCAAATCCACTGAAAAAAGAAAAAAACACCCCAAAACATCAAAACAAAACAAGCTCCACAGGAAAAAAATAAAAAGAAAGAAAACCAGCAAAAACTGTTAGGAGTTCCTTTTTCTACATATCTTCTCAAGGGTTTTTTTTGTCCAAAGGTTCAGCACCACTGAGGACCATAGTTTCTGAAATATTATGAAGAATCACATTTTACATCAGGATGGTAAAATTCAAGTGTCTCTCTGGCAGAAGGTAACATCTATTAGCCAGCCTCTTGCATTTTTGTGGGCTTGCCTTTCCTTTTTGGAACAGGAATTTCATCCTGCACCTGACTAACCTCCAAAGTGAAGATGGTACCTTGGTCCCTATCAGAGCACCAACTTTAGTTGCCAAAATTAAATTGCCCATTACACCAATTACCCATTTCCAGTGTCTGGGCTGAGCTGAAGTTGTACATGTTGGCATATTTCAGAGTCCAGCTCCTGCCAGGTCATCCAGGTGGGAAACACAGCCAGTACTGCTGGGCTCCTTTGCTGTCACTGTGTGTAGAGGATGGGGCTGTTGGATCACCCAAATGAGGGGCTAGGAGTAGCCAGCCCCAAAGGCTGGAAAGGCTGAAGTGCTCCCCAGGTTGGACAGAGCTTTACAAGTCATAGTAAGGAAAGGTTTGTAGACAGTGGAAGCAAATATCATCAATATTCAGTCCCAGGGAGGCCTGTGAGTTATTAACTCTAACTTTACCTTCTGACAGGTAGGATCTCTGGGCCTTTACTGCAGAAGATCTGCCTAATGCAATCCACCTGCCGAAGTTGTCATTCCCTGATAAAAATTCAGATACAATTTGCTTCATTGGACAGATGGTAAGTATTTTGTATTTCATCTTCATTAAAGGAAGGAGACCTCCTTTGAATACAAGTTAAAGGAAGAAGAAACCCTTGAATATGATGTAAATGGTCTGATAGCCCCAAGGACTTTCTGAGGAAGGGACCAGAAGCAGTGGGTGTGAAAGCATGGAAGTTCACCAGGTATTAGTTTTGCAATTATTTGAGTGTGATAATGTTTTGGTAGTTGACATAATGCTCCTGTTCAAATGCTGTACCAGAGACTCCTCCTGTGTCCTCCCATGCTCAGTTTGGAGACTCAAACACGAAATTCTTCTAAGTTTCAGCTAGGTTTTCTCCAGAGACATAATGAGCATGCAACTATACAACACGTGCATCTGTACCTCTCACTGAAAAGGAATCTAAGGGTAAGAAGCAAATAAGTAAATTCTTCTAAAATTTTAGAAGAAGCAAAAGAACAATACTGTAATTTCTCTCTTAATATCCATTATTATATAAATTATTCTGTGGCTTTTATTCCAACCTTCACTGGCAAATCATTCCTTTATTTCTGTGAATAGCCAGTGTACTTGTCACATGCATTAAAGTGACTAAGACACTATTTTTGTTTCATAAGGATTTTGATATGTCCAGTAGTACAAATATCTAGGTTGGTGTTACAAATGCACTTCGTCACCTTCTGCAGAAAAACAGGTGCACTTTTTGTAGCTGATTTATTTTTCCTGCAGAATATACCTTGACAAGAAATCTGTTTTGTGAGTGTAATGAGATGTGACTTTCAAAAGTAGTAAATGGGCAAAAATTGAAATATAAAACATTCTTTTTAAACAAAAGAAAGAGAAAGTCACTTTGGGGTCTTTTTTCCACTTGTGAGAGTGCTTGAACACTGTCACAGGTAGCCCAGAGGGGCTGTTCAGTCTCTGTCTTTGGAGATATTCAAACCCCAACTGGGCACAGCCCCGAGCAATGTGTCTGTAGGTGACACTGCTTTGAGCAGAGGGTTGGACTTGACAGTTTCCAGAGATGCCTTCCAGCCTCAGCTACTCTGTGAATCTAAATAGTTGTGTTTTCTGTGCAGTCACAAAGGGTAGTTTCTTTTTTAGATAGTTGCATAAATTCCTCCCGTTGCCAGATTCAATAGCATCAGTCATCTCTCTTTTGTTGTGATAACTGAAGTTTTTCAGAAATAAGAGGGACAATTCACAGGTGAATTGAGAGAGGGCTGAAAAAGGATTAGCTGTGGAGCTATTGCCAATTATGGATGCTGAGTTAGAGGTAACAGAGTACACCTTCTTTAAGTGGGAATTATTTGCAATCTTTCATGTTAATAGTTCTTCTTAATGTTTAAAGACTCTCCAGCCTTTGAATGCAAAAGTCTTCCACGTGAATTAAAAGTAGGGAGAGTTAATGCACTAAATGATTGAGAAAAAATAGGCAAAATGAAGAATTGTGTTCATCAAACTGCATCCTAGTCTGACATTCAAAGGGATGAAACTAAAAAGAGAGGATAAAATGTGCTTGGATCAAACGTTTAACTCCTGTGTCAAATGTGTTCAATAAGCCAGTGATAAAGAATATGATACACTGTGAAGGTTAATTACTAATGAAAAAAATAAACACATAAAAGGGGGGGGAATAGAAAGGGGAACTCTGGAGTTGGTAATGACTGAATGCAGCTTGCTTAGGGGACTATTGCTGCACATCTGCTTTGTGACAAGTACAGTAAAATTAGTTATGGATCATCAAAGAGATTCCTAACACTTAACAAAATGAGACCAAAAGTGCCTTTTTTCCCCAGGTTCAGACATCTGGGAAAACATTAATCAAACATACAGATTCAGTAGGAGGGAAAGTTTGGAAAACAGCAATGTTGAAAAAGACTGAGTGCATAATATTGGCAGAAATTAGATGTGAATCTGCAATGCAGCATCACAGCAAAACAGCCATTTTTGGCTTTTTTTTTTTTTTTTTTTTTTTTCAGTCTGCCAGTGAAAAATCATCATACTCCTACTCAGGAAAGAACAATAATGCTTTTCTGTTCAAGAATGGTGAAATGGAAAAATCTTGGTTGATTTTGAGAGATGTTTAATGTTTCCTGCTAAATGCCCTTGGGTCTTCCTGATGCAGAAGGGAGCTGGCCTTAGAACACAGAGAATGGGGATGGACAACCCCTAACCTTGATGTTGCAGAGCAGTTGGAAAAGAAACCAAAGAAATGCAATGCTGTTGATTGCTGAGGGGACTGGCTTACAAGAAAAGATTAAATCTTGTCTGATTACATCTGTGCCTGGTAGGAGGCAGTGAGGATCTTCCTAAGAACTAGACAGGAAAAAAAAGTTCTGTGATATTGGCCACTGCATAAGAGCTGATTCCTCATTTGGAGAAGAGTTGGCTCTCATTTCTCTGGTGTGTGAGGCAATCATTGGGCAGAGATTTCATCCTGGTTTTCATCTAATTTGTTTTTTAGCTTATCTTGAACACTTCTTCTTAACCTAATTTAAATTGGCACATTTTAGAGTCTGGATTTTTTAAAATCCATGTATTCAATTTGTTATTATTTCTAGTAGTAGCTGGCAATATCTAACAATAAACAGCTACAGGTAGAAAATATGGGAGAAGAGTCACTGTGCAAATGGGTATAAGGAAGAGCAAGGAAATAATGCTCAAAAAGGGACAGCTGGCTTTGAATATCAGCAGAAATAGCTTCTCTCAGGCCTGCCTACATGACCTGCTTGGTTTGCACAAAAGTGTGACCCCCTTTAGCAGTTGCATATCCAGTACTGCACTATATCTGTCTCAGTGCACTTGCTTCCACCTCCCCACCCACTCTGATCTATTTTTTGTGTGTAGGCAATAAGCATTGTGATTTTTCTTTTTTTTGTCCTTTGGTGTGCTATGAAGCCTCCTCTCTGCAACTGCAATATCAAGACAAAATTCACACATATCCATTCCTAGATCTGCCCATTTGGTGTTTTTTGCAAGCTATTTTGAATAAGAAGTGTCCAGTATTGTAGTGCTGGCCTCTATCAGTGCATGTCAGGCAGGGAGGAGGGGATGAATTCGTCATCTTGCCATCTGCTGGCCTCATCTCTGCAACTCAGAGCTCAGAGCCAGAGCAGTTTGAGTAAGAACTTTGCCCTTGTACTTCCTCACAGTCAGGGTGGCATGATTAGCAGGAGCACAAGATGCACTTGCTAAGCCAGAGCTGTTTCTTTTAATGAAACAGACAGCAGCGCTCCCACCACGATCACATTAATAGAGATGACTGAATCTTTACCCTGGGACACTCTGCTGACCCTCTCCTGCCTTCTTCTAAACAACAAAAATCACAAGCAAGAGCAATTTAACTATCACCTAAAGTAGTGAGAAGTAGGAAGGTTTTGGAAGCTGAGGGCAGGTGACATGGCACTGTAAGAAGTTACCAGCTGCTGGGCACTACCTGCCCTTCTCACATAATTGCATCCTATCTTTTGAACTGCTAAAAGAGAAGAGAAATTAAGAGAAACTCCTTCTTCAAAATCACTTTTTACCTGAACACTTAATCACTTAATCAGTGAAGACTCTTGTGGTCTATTTGGAGCATGATAAAAAATTCAGAGCTATATGATTTCCTCTTCTTTCCTTTCTATTTTCTTTTTTGTGTGTAGCACTTTCCTGGGCATTTCATCAGACTTCAGTACATTATTTCTTAAGGAGTTCACAAGCTATTTTGTGAATGTTGCAGGGGTATTAAAAAAAGATTTTTTTAAATTGGAGAAATACTGCTTTCATTGTCTGTGATGTGGCTATATTCCCACTATTGTCTCATTTTGTTTTAATATTAGCCTATTGGACCATGAAAAAATCTAAAGTATGAGAAATACACTTTTTCTTTCGTGTACTTAGCCATATGAGCCTCATAAAAAACATATCTCTGATGACTAAGCAAAATATTTATTTTTGCAAAACACAGTTAGGGATCTATAACTATTTAGATGCTATAAATGCTTCAAGAAACCGTGCAAAATTACACAGGTTGCAACCATGGTGTTATTCCATATCCATGGGTAGAAATGAAGCTGGGTTTCCCAAGGATCTGTGCACAAAGGTTGACCCACCCTGTCCTTCAGGATGTTTCAGTAATAAACTTCTTTCCTTCCTTCCACCAGCTCTGCATTTTCCCTAAGTTTCTGCAATTTTGAAACCTCATGTACTTTGTCAAATTTGGCTGCAGTGCTGCTATCAGTTCAAAGATTGTGGAAAAGGAAGGAGGAGAGACAGACTTGAAGGTGGAAAGAAAATTTCCTTGTGTGAACTTCCTTTCCGAAGGAAACCACTGAAGGTAAGAAAGGATCATGTGGGCCATAACAGTACAACGTTTCAAAATGATCAGTTCACAAAGAAAAGAGAAAAAGGGTGCAGCCTTTACACCTCCTGTAGTCATGGACCATTCTTCTTCTCACCTTGGATTTGCTGTCCAAGTCAGTTCGTGTCACACCTCTCAAGGACAGGCACAAAGGACACAGAGGCAGCACCTGTGCTTTGAAATATAACTCTCAGAACACCAGGGGTTAATGATGCCCAGAGCCTCCAGCCTCACTGCTCCCTAAGTCTGTGCATTTCTTATGCAGAGCTGATTTGCAGCTGCACTGCTAAGTTTTATCCTGGGAAAAAGCCTCAAAAATATGTTTCTGCAACAGCAATTCTGCCCTTTGTAATTGGGGAAGAAAATGCCTGTGAAATATTCCATAGAGCTTTGTGGTGCTGCATTCTGAAATGTACTTCATTGCATACCATGAAAGCTGGAACTTCAAAACCCATTGATTAAAATGAGAGCATTACTGTACCCTTCTAATTAGGATATAGTATTTAACACTATTCTTAGCTTGAGCCGTGCACAGTAAGTACACTTCTGTTAATAGATTTTGGAGGGTAGGGAGACAGCATTTATCTTTTTTTTTTTTGTTTAATTGCATGAAAAGGCAGGAGCTAGCAGTCACATTTTAAGAATGCTCTGGTAAGAGAAGATTTCCTGCTGGGAGAAGCCAAAGGAGTGGAAGGAGAAAATATATGTCAGATGGCAGAAGGGGGGAACAGACCAGTTGAGGGATGGATAGCTGAGATACAGCGAACAACTACATTCTCACAATCTTTTTTTTAACCAGTATTTCTGGTTTTGAGTAGGGAAAGTGCTTACCTTTTTGAGCATTTAGGGGAAAGGGTTATCATCATGCATGAAATCAAATAGGGTTCGTGCAAATGCAAGCAAACACCGGTTTGATAGTCAGAGTGGGAGCAGGAAATTTTAAATGCACACAACAAGCAGCAAGTCTAAGTAGTGTTTTCTCTGCCACAGTCACTGAGGAAAGGTTAAAACTTCAAACAGCTACAAGTCTCCAGCAGATACACGGAAAAACAGGTCCTGGAGGTGTGTCAAAATATTTAACATTTGCTACATCTAATAGAAGCATAAGGAAAGTTGAAAGTAAGAAAAGTAAAAGTAAAAAATAGCCACGAGCCCACATCAGTTTGTCTGTACTAAACAAGCTGCCTATGCAAAGTGCTGACAGGTTTTATACCATCGGTGTAAAAAGATTCATGCTGGGCTCTCGCTTGAGTGCAGAAGAGCAGAAAAACCCCGCACTGACCCTTCAGCACATCAGGCACCTGAGGAGAGAGCGTGGCAGCCACGTTTCCTCACCCAGCAGCCTGACCCTGCACCTTCTCCCCTCTGGGGTGGCTGTCCCGCTGCAGGCAGTGCCAAAGCACGGTCACATCACGGGGCTGTCACCAAGGTCACCCCTGGGCTGTGTTTCCCCCAGCCCAGGGCTCCTTCCAGCATTCCAGAGGGAGCAGCTCCTGGTGGGGAGACTGCACCCAAGCAATATTAGCATGCTTTCACTTAATGCTCTCTGAATCTACCCCAGCTCCAGAAGAAGCACAGAATATATTTTCTCTCAGCAGTTAATGCACGCTGAGATTTGTGCTGTGTGAAAGCAGGGCATCTGAACGTGCAGAATCCAAAATGGGAGGAATGTGAAGGGAGTCCCTGCTCCTCTGTGTAAACAAGTTTTTATTCTTTCTAGGCTTTACCTGAGAAAGGATTTGGGATGCTGATCCTCAATTTTTTCTGTCTCCCCGCCATCATCTGTGGGTGTTTACTGAAGTACCAGGTTGGTTACATAATTTTTCACATTATTCTCACAGGCTGTCCAAAGTATGAAGTCAGCCTTTAATTGAAGTTTCTATTTGCATGCTTCACAACCCTTAAAATATTCTTCTTGGAATGTCAGATGAGGTTAATTGAGGACCCTCTTGATGATGGTATTATTGTAATATGAACTTGGAGAATCCAATATTAATTCTAGAAGGGCTCTGTAAGATTTATTTTTCCTCTTTAGGTTTTATCTTCGTATTGAGAATTGGTTTGTGGTTTAAATTCAAAACGATTTTCAATATAGTGAAATTCATAATGTTATAATGAACTCTAGAAATTATTCTATTCCTAGAAATAGATAATAGCATTGCATTTAAATATTGCTATTTGGACTCTACCACATAGGAGACAGCATTATACCCTTTCTTGGCTGGTATGATTTGAGGAATTTTTATTTCCTCTTGGCTATGTGCAAGAAACTATTTCTCAAATTTGGCTGAGATCAGCTGTAACTACTGTTCTAGGCTGATGCCTCCCTGTGCCTGGAGTTGTATATTACTTTTGGAAAACTGACTGTAAAAGTAGCTTTTTACCTAACGATAATGTTGTTTAGGAATAGCCTGTTTTCACTTTTCCTTGCCATTTTTTA